TTAGCTTCAGAATTTGCTTGGGTGCTTCTTAGAATTGATTCCTAGAATCTTCTAGGTTTAGTAGGTCTGTATAGGGCCCATATGTATTCTTAAAAACTCTCCAGATTATTCTGATGAGCACCTAGATTTTAGAGTCTGTTGTAGAATGTTTTCATGTTTCTTCTTGAGAAGTGAGTACCAAAATACAAAGTGAAGAAACTTAGGAAGGAAAATTGTTTAACAGAATTTGTAAGAATATTAGTTTCTGTAGGCTTGGTGCCTGGTATTAGTCCTTAATATCTTATGAAGGATGATCCCATGTGCCTACCTCTGTGTCTCTTTTCTCAGTTGCTTGAGGGCACCACAATGTGGAATGTGTGTAGCTTTGTGCAGCCTCTTATATGGAAGGCAGAGAAGGTGGAATATTAGGGTGGTTATGAGCATGGGTCCTGAAGTGGTGATTATCTAGGTTTGAATCTCTCTGTGCCTCAGTGTTTTCATCTGTAAAGTGGAAATAATAATAATAATAGTACCTGCCCCAGGGAGTCTTGATAGAGAAGAGGACCAGTAGCTAAGCCCTAGAACAGTGATCCCTACCCTTTGTGGCACCAGGGACTGGTTTTTCCACTGCGGGGGGGGGGGGGGGGGGGGTTGGGAGGGATGGAGGGACAAGAGGCGGAGCTCAGGGGAGCTTCCCTCCTGGCCCTCTATACCAGTCTGTGGCCCCTGACCTAGAATATTTCAATTTTAAAAGTCTGGGGGAAGGGCAGATTAAGGAGTGTCTACTGAGGTAGGAAGAAAACCAGGAAAGAAAATCTGGAATGGAAAGGAAGGAGTTTCGAGGAGAAGAAAATGATTAATTGTGGCAAATGCTGCTGCTCATAAAATGATGACAACCTCTCAGGGATATTGTGAGGATGAAATGTAAAATGCTTATTTAGCACAGTGCCTGGCATATAGTAATTTCTGAATACATTTTTAACTATTATAGCTTTTGTTATTAGCGTGACTAGTCCCTCTTGAACCCCTTGAAATGCCAGTGTTTTTCATTTGGTACTTAGTTATATACTGTTAGTGTTATTAAATTTTTAAAAAACCTTTTATTAAAATAAAGCAAAACAGAAAAAACACACATATGAAAAATGTACAGCTCACTAAATTTATATAGATAAACACACCCATAACCAGCATCCCAGATCAAGAGTTATTTTCTCTGTATTTCTTTTCTCAGAAGTGAGTCTATAAATTCTTCAAAGGCAACTTCTTTTAAGCCTTCCAGCCGCCAGAGCTGACACTAGTAATTGTAAAAGTATTTGTTGTACTCCCTGCTTATATCATTGTTTTCTGAAATGCGAGGCCATTGGAAGGACTTGTATATTGTAAACATGCTTTAATATTTGTGATCATATCCCAAATTTAGAAATGGGGTGTAATGAAAATGGCAGAAATAAATTATCTTAATACAACATTCTCTTGGCCATGTTGCACTTAAATAATATTTTCTGTTGCTTTTTAGTTTGTTTACAGCTATATACAACATATGGTGGGTGTTTTGTGAGTGTGCAATTCTAGTATCATTAATGAAATGTTAATGTAGCTTATGATATTAATAATTTTTATTATGATGTTAATAGGCCAGTGGTCACGAAGTCCAAATATCCAAATGGTCTTGGGTATTTTCAGAAGGGGATCAGCAAAGGCCATCATGACATACATCTCTGGGGACTCCTACATTTAATTGCCTTATCATTTTAACTTGGCAAGACAGCTATTGGTTTCACTAAGGATCATAAAAACAAATTACTAATAGCTTATAAGCACAGCACTTAAGAGCTTGAATGACATTTAGTAAATATTTCTTGATTGGTGTTATGCCTGCGCTCCACAGTAATGTGAGCACCATTCCTTATTTCTCTTAAAATAGTTTGCCAGTAATTACAGTAGAGTAGTATAGCTTTTGTTAATGCCTGTAAAGTACTGGTATTATTAGGAAGAATATTTCCCACATTTGGAGTGATCTGGACTCTTCTGTGCTTGAATCATTTCCACAAGTCTTCACTGGAATGGTAGGTATTAGCTGAATTTGGAACAGATACTGTGCATTCAGGCATCAGTGGGTCAGTGGTGGTTTGCCCTGGGTAAGGCTTTTTGGGGCAGCTTTGCTCCAGCTGTTTCTCATCTTTCCTTCGGGGACCAGTGGGCTAGCCTGGGCATGTCCTTTCTAAGATGACACCAGAATAGCAAAAGTATGCCAGTCCATTTGCACAGGTGCTTTTCATGACTCTGCTTATGTTCAAACTTGCTTGGCCAACATCCCATTAAACAAAGCAAGTCACATACCTAAGTCCACATTGGGAGCAAAGTTACATGTCAGAGGGCATGGATTTAGTAAGGGGCGAAGTATTGGAATCATTGTTGCCATCTTCCATACCCTTTAAATATCCCAATTATTAAATCATAATTATTCATCTTTTCTACCCTACTTGAGGGTAAAGACTTTCTCTCATTTTAAAAGTCATAACTACCAGTTATTAAACACCGACAATGGCTAAGTGCTATGCATGGTGCTTTTGTATATTAGCATAATTTTCACAATTCTGTAGTCCAATTTCTTCCATTTTATGGGCGAGAAAACTAAGGCTTAGAGAAATTAAGGGACTTCCCCTAATTAGGATTTGGACCCAGGATCATCTGACTTCAAAGGCTATATTCTTTCCACTGCAACAAGCTGCCCTTAATTCACCTGTGCATTCCCTATGGCGCTAAGCACAGGTTCTTATATGTGTAGCATGTGTATTTGAATCTGACAAATTTGATATATATTTTGGGTTATTTGGAAAAGATATTTCCTGACTATTGGTTATATTAAAATGTGTTTGGGTGTAAGTAACAGAAAATAGTTAAATGCCCTTAACCAATCAGACTCATATAACTGGAATTCCAGCAGTTTGTTAGGTTAAGGGTTGGTTTGATTCAGCAGTTAAATTGATGTTATCCAGAGACCCCACTTCTTTCTATCTCTCTGTTCCATCTTTACATCGTCAACTTTATCCTAAGGTTGGCTGTCATTCAAATAGCTGCTGCCAACTTACATACTATATGTTTTTTTTTTTCATATACAAGGTGGAGAGTGCCAGTCAAAGAAAGAGAAGAGAGAGATAGTTATGGATAGATTATGCATCATGTCATGATGTTATTCTTTTTATGCTTATTAAGAGAGGCACAAAGAGGGAAATATCTTTGTAATCAAACAGTTTGGGAAACCTCTTTGTGCAGAACCTCTCCTAGAAGGCCTAGAAGACTGGGAATTTGGGGAATGAGTAGAGTATAAGATTGTGGGGTAAGGGTATCAAGTAACCATACTCTATGGTCAAAGGAGTCAGCAAAAGAATTGCTTGGCAGGTAGGTTTTGGGCGTCTCTCTTGCCTTTTCTGCCATGAAGAAACTGTTGGGTTTTTGTCCCCCACCCACCCCCTAACTGTAGCACTGAGAACGACTCAGGTATAAACACAGTAATTGCATGGCCTAGTGAGTGACGTAGCCTGTTTATAGCAATGTCTCCTCAGTCTGGCAGATACTTGGTATGGAAAGAAATACTTTTAGCTCGTGAGGGAATGGATCAGCCCTGCAAGGTGACTGAAGAGAATTTTTTATTCACGGAGCCTTCATCCTCTTATCACTTGCCATTTCCACCCCACTATACACCTCCTTCCTTTATTAAAGATTAACTACTTTGGAAATTCCATATGTGGCTTGATATGTGTTGTTTCTGAGTTCTTTTTTGTCAGACCTAGAAGAAGCCTTATATAATCAGAGAGCTTACAGTGAAAGGAAACTCTGTGGTTTCAGTGACCAAACTTATGCATTATTTATTAAATTGAATAGCCAGACCCCGATTCCAGTTTCTTGGTTTGCTGTGATATTGCCATTATTTGTGACTGCTTCTTTTCTTGTTTTTGTGTGGCCCAGTACAGAGTATTCTCTTGGCTTATTTATCTTAAGCCAGATGTGAAATCCTCTGGTGTCTACTTTGGGTTAACTTGGGTAGCATAGCCATGCCTATCTTTCAAGCATGGGGTGGATTTGGGGAGGCTGTTGCAACCCCATGGTAATTAAGAGGACACACCAGAGGAGCTAACTATGATTGCCTCTGTGACTCAGGACTTCCTAAAGGAATGGCGAGGGTAGGGAAAATGACAAAGATGTGAATTTGCATCTGTGAGGGAAGAAAGGTTCACTTTATACATACTATATTAAGTGAATCTCCTGTAAGCTGCCTGCTCTGCCAGGCTCTAGGCTTATCAGAATAAAATAGAAGGTTATTCCCCAGCGTACTGCTGCATAACAAACTACCCTAAAATTTAGTGGCTTAAAACAATCATTTTATTTTGCTTGTGATTTTGTAGGTCAGGAATTCAGAAGGGCTTTGCTGAGTCTCTGATCCACATGTCTCAGCTGGGGTGGCTGAGCTGGAGGACCCACTTCCAAGATGGCAGCTTCATTCACATGTCTGGTGCCATGGTGCCTCTGGGCCCCTCTCTCTTACTACATGGTGTCTCATTCTTTAGGTCATCTCCATATGGCCTGAGCTTGCCACAGCTTGGTGATGCCAGGATAGTGGTAGACTTTTTATGGTGACTGACAAGAGGTACAAGCCAACCAAGTGGAAGCTGGAAGACTTCTTATGACCTGGCCTTGAAAGTTCCATAATGTCACTTAAGTTGCATTTTATTGGCCAGCTTTGATTCAAGGGTCAGTGAAATATTAGACTCTACATTTACATCTACATCTCATTTTTATTTCACTGTAGTGTGTTTCATGAACTCATGTTTAGTGACTGGGATAATGAGAAATTTCTTACTATGCTCTTCCTTAGAAACTAATTTTTTTTTAACAGATGAGAAAACATTTTATTATTATTTTATTATATAGCATAGTAGTGAATATACTTGATTGCATTTTCTCAAATGGCAAATGAGACACAGGAAAACATTTTTCTTTGATTACTGAAAACCTCAGTATCATCTGTCTTTTGGAGGATTCAATTTCTTATGACATCTATGATATTGTCCACGAGGATACCACTGGTGCTTGGTAGTAAAGAACATTTTGCTAAGTTGTTCTATCATAGGTCCTTGCTCCAAGTGTTCATCTTTTTCTTCTAATCTGGCTTTCAGTAGTTGATCTAGTGTTTCTTCATGATTATGCACAGGATCGGGCCAAAGGGTAGGTTTTGTGTGTTTATATGGAATGTCCACAGAAGGATGGTAGCAAACTATAGTACTGCCATCAGATGTCAAAGCAAGCTCTACTTTGCAATTATAGTCATCTGGAAGAGCAGAATACATGGATTTTTGACAAACACAATATAAAGGTCCATTTTGAAATGGAAATAAATGTTTCAAAATAGTTCTGTTTGATATCACCCATTTCGCTGCTGCTACTGCCATGGTGAATCAAGATCCTTATCGGGTGGTATGGAAAAAGATGACTTGAAGAGAAAAAGCTTTTAAAATTTACTTCTAGGCATACCTATTTTCATCCCTTGACAGGGGCTCACCATGGTCCCGACATCTTGCCTCAATCCTTAGAAACTAATTTTTAATGTCCAGCTGTTACTCCATGCTGTTAACTCTCAGGTCTCCATATATATTAATGATAGTTATTCAATATAGTTTATATTCTTTTTTTCTGCTATCTCCTGTTTTCCACTATTTTAATACAATTTAGCTCATTAGCTCGGTTGCCCTTTTCAATACCATTTTCTCCTGTTAGAATCCTTGTTCAGCCTGTTCAGCCAAATAAAAAAATGTTAGTTTTGACTTTTATCTCATCACTTGAATTTAATCAGTTCCCAACCGGATCCTAATGTTTTCTTTTTGATGTCTTTCTGATTTTTTTTTTTCTCCATTCCTGTCACAATCTTATTCCATGCCTGGATTCCCATGAATACTTTGTGTCTGGTTTTCTATCTCTAGTCTTTCTTTGCTTCAATTTGATATGCTACTACACAAATAATCTTTATTAGACATACTTTGATAATCTGATACTTCTGTTTAGTCCTGGCTGGGTAGCTCAGTTGGTTACAGTGTCGTTTCAATATGACAAGATTGTGGGTTTGAACCCTGGTCAGGGCACATACAAGAATCAACCAATGAGTGCATAAATAAGTGGAATAACAAATTGATGCTTTTTTTCCTTTCTCTTTCATTCTTCCCCTCTCTTTATAAAATCAATAAATTAAAATAAATTAAAATAAAAATGAAAACTTCTGGTTAGTATTCTAGACTCTCTCTCATCTGATTTCAGAATACGAATCCCTCCCTTTACTTAGGTGGGTCTTTTTGCAGTCTTCTACACATGCTGGCCTTAGGTGTGCCTTCCAGGACCTAGAATACCCTTACTTCCTTTCATCCTCCCACTTTCCAAGTTTTGTCAAATCCCAGGTTCTCTAATGGAGCTCAGTCTCCTGAATTCCTGACCTACAAAATCACATGGGGCCTATAATAATGCCCTTTATGGATGTGCCCATAGTACAGTTGACCCTTGAACACCATGCATTTGAACTTATACACAGATTTTTTTCCAATAAATACAGTAAATACTGTATTTTCTTTTTCTCTAGCTTATTTTATTGTGAGAATAGTGTAATGTATATAACATACAAAATATGTTAATTGACAATTTATGTTATCGGTGAGGCTTCCAGTTAACAGTAGGCAACAGACAATCGTTAATAGTATTTAAGTTTGGGGGGTAGTCAAAAGTTATACAGGGTCCAGTACAAATAGCACCCTTTTTTTATTACAACCTTTTATTACAAAATCATAAGCATGTAATTCTGCAGTGTAACAATAGCATACACAAGCATACCATATGATATTTTATGTGAAATGTTCAGATTAAAACTATAAATTATTACACCCATATTATTTCCCTATCAGCCACAGTCAAGCAGGAGTTACTTCTGTTGGGCCCTATGTATGTATTTTCGACTGCACAGGGGGTTTGTCTCCCGTGCTACCTCATTGTTCAAGGGTCAACTGTGTATGTTTAAGATGTGTTTATAGTTGATTGTTTGGTGTAGATGTAGCTCTAAGAAAGCTGAATCAGCCCCAGTGGAAAGAACCAGAAGTCAAAAATAGTATGAAATGTTACATCTCAAGTACTTTCAAGTCTCAATGAGAAGTTTATTTCTTTTATACTTGTGAAAATAGCTAAAAGGATTCCTTTAAATACATGTTGACATCTTTATTTTTGAAAAAGTAGCTTTAGTTTTTTAATTTGGTAATTTAATGATGAAAAGTCTCTAAATAAATTATACATGCTTTCTGCTCTTATTTTTAGTAACTCCTTATGACATTTGAGAAACAAGAATTTGCAGTTGGCAGTCTAGCCCACAAATAATAGAAGAGTTCATTTAGTTCACTTTATTCTTAAAGCAGTTTTTTCCTGACTCACTAGTTTGTTTCTAACTAATTTATTTATTCAAAAAAATACTTATTGGGCTTTTACTATGTGTCCAGCACTAATAAGCAAATATCTGCTCTCTTGGAATTTACATTGTAATTAGCAGGGTTTGGGCAAAGGAATTGGACTAAATAGGGAAACAAATAGTAATATATATTGTGTCAAGTGCTATGGAATTTGCAGTTTCAAATAGGTGGACAAGGAAGGTCTTAGAGAAAAGGCAAAAATTAAGAAGATAAGGGAACTAGCTGTGAGAATATCTGGCTGGGGAAAGAGTTTCCCAGGCAGTGGGAATAGCAAGTACAAAGACATGGTGGCAGATAAATGTCTGGTGTGGTCAAGGAACTCCAAGGAGGGTGATGTGGTTGCAGTGGAAAGAGTAAAAAGAATAGTTGTGTGTGAGTCAGAGAGGAAACACTGGCCAGATCATATAGAGTCTTATAGACCATTGTAACAACTTCAACTTTTACTTAGGATTAATTATGTGTTGGAGGTTTTTGAGAGAGGTATGACATGATGTGACAACTTTTAACAGGATTATCCTGGCTACTGTGCAGTTAATTAGAATGAAAAGGAGGCAAGGGTGAAAGCAGAAAGACTAGTTAAGAGACTGTTACAATAAAGTCTGCTCAGTAAATAAAGACTGTGCAAAAAAGGTGAGAGATATGTAAAAGTAGCCTGGACCAGAGTGGTAGCAGTGGAGTTGGTGGTTCTGGATCTATTTTGAAAATAGATAAAACAGGCTTTACTGACACTGTCAGTAAGGGGTATAAGAAGATTAAAGAAGTCAAGGATAACTCTGCAGTTTCAGGCCTGAACACCTGAAGGACAGAGTTGCTATTAATGGAGATGTAGAATACTATAGGAGGTACGTGATGGGAGATGATCAAGAAGTCAGCTTTGAAGAGGTTTAGTTTGAAATATTTATTGGACATCCAAAGTTGTTTTTCCCTGGCTGGGTAGCTCAGACGGTTAGAGTGTTGTCCCAATATGCCCAGCTCGTGGGTTCTATCTCTGGCCAGGGCACATACAAGAAGCAATCAATGGCCCTGACTGGTGTGGTTGGGTGTTGTCCTGCAAACCAAAGGATCGCTGGTTTGAGTCCCAGTCAGGGCCCATGCCTAGGTTGCTGGCTAGGTTCCTGGTTGGAGGTGTGCAAGAGGCAACCAACTGATGTTTCTCTCCCTCTCTTTCTCCCTCCCTTCCCCTCTCTCTAAAAATATTTTTTTTTAATCTTAAATAAAAACAGCCACTGAATTCAGAAATAAGTGGAAGAACAAATTGATGTTTCTCTCCTTCCCTCTTTCTCTCTAAAATCAATAAATAAAAAATTTTAAAAAGAAAAAGAAGTTATTTTTCTTCTTAATGCTATGTGCCAGGGCCTGCTAAGCTCCCACCCCTTCCCCCCATATTTTCAATTATCAGACAATCCCATGAAATAGGTGATATTTTTCTGTTTTACAGGTGAGCATTCTGAGGGCTCAGAAAAAAATCATCTAAAGTATCTTAGCTAAGTAGTGGATCTGGGATCTGAATCAAGTTCTCGCTGACTATAATTGTGTTTACTAGACTTTAATCTCTTTGGTCTTGGCTATTTTATTACTGCTGAGTCTTCATAACTGGCACATAAAGGCACACAATAAAAATTGGATGAATGGATAGATGAATAAATGAATACTGCCTCCCAATACTTAAGCTTCCAACAATTAAACTGTTACCCACAAAGACATCTCAGTCTTTCAAAGATGTGTAAAAAAAATACCTGTATCTATATATCTATCTATATCTGCACATATATCTATGTAGATATAAAAAATATGGAGCCACCTTAAAATGGAGCTGGAGCTGCAGTTCAGAGCTGCCATCACAGAGGAATTGCCTTGCCATCTTATGTCTCCAACCTTTGGAATGTTAAAGCAGGGCAAAATAACCTTTGGACTAGGCTTAAAGCAACCTTGTGTCCTGAAGAAATGTTTGCAAGATAACAAGAAAGCAGATATTATGGCTGCTGACTGATGGCTAATGGACTGAAAATTAGCATTGTTTAGAATAGCATCACTCTGCTAGCTTAGGTGCACCAATATAAATACTTTTTTTCTGTTGAGGTACCTGTTCCCCTTCCCTTTTTCATAAATACCCTTGCCTTTGTCTTTTAGTGGAAACACTATTTGGGCTTCTGCCTAACTATGTGCTTCCCAAACACCTCTTCTTTTTAAAAAAAATTTTTTTTATTTTTAGGTTATCCGTTGTTTTGGCTATCCATTTTATGAATCTTTTCACAGTGTTGGTAGTGGTAAACAGTGGAAGGACTTAGAAATTGCTTTAGGGGGTTTCTAGCTAATAATTTTCCTAATCCTCTCCATGATTTGTGAAGCTAGTGTGGCAGTTGGAATTCCTAGAACTCTTTTTGAGTTTAGGCTAATCCTGTTTCTAATAGAAGTTTTGACAATTCTGTTTTTCTTAATTTGAAAAGTGGTATCATTCACAGGGATTGGGTCTGTGTTGGCTCTTGGGAGCTGTTTCTACTTTAGATTCTTTAGCAAGTAGGACAGTAGTAAGAGGATGATCACTCACTATACCTCTCACATTTTTTTACTATTTTTAAGGGCATTCCAGCATTCCTATACCTGATAACATAATCACCACCTGTACTTTGTGTATTTACTTGCTCTTTATGTTGGTCTTTTCTTTTTATCATGGTCACCGTTGTTTGCTTAGATAGTAAATTCTTAGATCAGTGATTTCCAAAGTGAATCACAAGCACTTCTTTACTTAACATGCTCATTTTAGCACATTTCACCTTCTTGTTGTAATTGCTTGTGTCTGTTTTCTACTCAGCAAATTAATTAAGCAGACACTTTGTGCCAAGGGAGTAATTAATAACTTGGCAAAGTACTAGTATAGTGCTTAGCTTTTCCACCAGTGATAGTTCTCTTTCCCTTCATCCCTGACCTCTCCCATTTTTGACATCTTATCACCT